CAAGGTACCTTCCTAAATTCTCTTTCTGACCCCTTAAAAGATCAGATCGCCTCAAGAGACGAGCCGGAGGGTTTCGACGAACTGATCGAGCTAGCGATAGCTATTGACGAGCGCTTCCGAGAGCGGAAACGAGAGAGAGACTACACGTCCCACAACCACTCCACTTCCGGGTTCACGTCACCAGGTGAGACCTCCGCCTACAAAAATTGGTCAGCAAACTACAAAGACCATGAGACACCCGTTGCTTCTTCTTCTTCTAAAAAGACAATTGAATTTCCCCCTGCTCAGCCCGACCTTGAGCCAATGCAGATTGGCCGTACTCATTTAACCCCCGAAGAAAGACAGAGACGTTTTGTTTCCAAACTTTGTTTTTATTGTGGTAGACCTGGCCATTTTCTTGCTCAATGCCCGTTTCGGGGAAACGGGAACTTCCACCAGTAAAGAGAGAGTTACTGGTGGGAACTTCTACCCTCTCTCCCACACATCGATTGATGCTCCCTGTTACTATTCAAATAAATCATGATCGCCTTCCTGTGTCAGCTCTTGTTGATTCTGGTGCAGAACAAAATTTAATTAGTCTAGATCTAGTCAAGAAACTATCCTTACCTACCCTCGAGGTTCCTCCAATTTCCATTTCCGGTGTTACAGGCAAGAACTTGGCACGAGTTCTTGGTAAAACAATTAAACTAAACTTAACTTCTGGAAACCATCATGAGATGATTGATTTCTTTATATTTGAGTCTCCACACACACAGGTCATCTTAGGTTATCCCTGGCTCCAAGAACATAATCCTCACATCAACTGGAGACAAAAAAGGGTTGAGAGATGGAGTGATTATTGTTTAAAAAACTGTTTACGTTCTGCCATCCCTAACCAACCCTCTGTAGACACTCCTCAGGAGGCTACAGATATTTCTATGGTTCCCCCTGTTTATCACGATCTAGCTCCAGTATTCAACAAACAGCGGGCCTTATCCCTTCCTCCGCACCGGCCCTACGACTGTGCTATTAACCTTCTCCCTGGGTCACCTTTTCCTACCAGCCGATTATACAACATCTCTGGTCCTGAAAGAGAGGCCATGAAGAAATATATTGAGGAGTCCCTTCTCTCTGGCATTATCCGCCCCTCCACCTCTCCTGTAGGAGCAGGATTCTTTTTTGTTTCCAAGAAGGACGGCACCCTTCGCCCCTGTATCGATTACCGGGGCCTCAATAACATCACAATCAAGAATAAGTATCCCCTTCCTCTCATAGAGTCCATCCATGAACAACTACAATCAGCAACTATTTTTACCAAGTTAGACCTCAGAAATGCCTACCATCTCGTCCGTGTACGGGAGGGGGATGAGTGGAAGACCGCCTTCAGAACACCACTCGGACATTTCGAGTATTTGGTCATGCCATTCGGTCTGACCAATGCCCCTGCCGTCTTTCAAGCTCTTGTTAATGATGTGCTTCGAGATTTCATTGGTGACTTTGTTTTTGTATATCTAGATGACATACTCATCTACTCGAGGGACAAGGAGGAGCACATCCAGAGAGTTAGAACCGTCTTGCAAAGACTTCATGAAAACCAACTGTTCGTTAAAGGGGAGAAGTGTGAGTTTCATGTTTCTTCTGTATCTTTCCTGGGCTTCATTTTTGAGGGAGGATGTTACAGAACTGATCCTGCTAAAATCAAGGCGGTGGTGGATTGGCCGATTCCCGACTCAAGGAAACAGCTCCAACGTTTCCTTGGGTTTGCCAACTTTTACAGGCGGTTCATTAAGGACTATAGTCGGATCGCTTCTCCTCTCTCCAAATTAACATCCACCAAGGTAACGTTCAAATGGAACCCTGAGGCC